TACCTCTGAGCCACCAGGGAAGCCTTCATAACATATTATTTAACCCTTTAATAATTACAAAAAACTGAAATAAAATGTGATCTTACTATGTAGTACACTAAGAAAATCAAAATATAAAGCATAACATTTTAAAATTTGACTTGAGAGTTGGGAGAGGGGAATATAAAGGCCTACAAAATTGAAAATTGTAAAAGGGTTTTGAAGCCATGTGTGATGAATAAAAATTAACTGTCTATTGGAAAAAAATAATATGTTTCACTCTTCTGTAAATTAGTTAAAATAAAGAAGCTCCTAATGGTATGTGTAATTTCCTTTGATACCTTAAGGTAGAAGGTGACGTTGATGAATGTGTTTATGGACGAGTGATCCTGAAATGTAACATTTCATGACCTGCAGGTGTTTCTACACCGCCTTCCCCCTGCTCGGGGGTTGTAATTGCTATTTGCAGTTCGCATGTGGATTATACATCTCTGCTAAAATTGATTTTTGCTTCTTCCACACACCCTGCCATATGCCAGCATGATCTCTTGGAGCAGCTATGGGTAGCTGTTCTTCATCTTGATATTATGGTTTCAGGACATCTAGATAATACTCTTCTCCTCGGTTTGCTTTTCCATCTTTACATTGCCTTATTTCAAATTTATTTAAAGTTATTTCATTTTCTCACATTGTCTCCCTTAGTTACATGCCAGTTGAAGTGGAATTGAGTCCTGATTGCCTTGAAAAGTTACATAAATATGTTTTAGAAATCCTACTTTATGATAAGAATTTCATTTTTTTTATTCTAAGACTATTTAGCTTAATGAATTTGCATGGGAATTCATGAAATAGTAAAAGACTGGGAAGTCTCTTGCTTTGTAGACATTTAATGAGGCTCAAATTTGGAACTGATTTGGAAATCACTTATAGTTTCTGTAGCTCATATAATGTCAGCCTGGACAACATCAAATATTGGATATCTTTTTATGTTACTAAAGATGTATTAAGGTCATTCTATAATATATATATGTGTATATATATATATATATATATGACTATATACAACTTTAAAAATACGATCATGCTTCTCCGTTATTATTTAGTACAATATCACTTCTTCCAGCTATAATTTTAGGCCTTACTAAGAAAATTTCTGAAGTCTCCCCTTTCTGAATAGTGTTTAAACATTAATGCTAATTTTGCAGATATCTGTGTTTAGCTCTTTTCTCAATTGCACAATTTAAAGTCATCTCAGAGATATTATCACTTTGTTAGTATGCTCAAAATAAATTTGCTGATTATATTCAATTTTTTAAAATTAGGCAATAACAAGCTGATAGGGAATGTAAAATGACTTTATATGAAAAAACTTGACTTTTAAGAAACATATCTAATGATGTTTATTCATGTTGCATTGTCGATAATTTCTAGAAAAGATCTCTTTTTTAGAGTTATACATTTTACATAAGTTCATTTACTCTCCACCTGCAGCCTTATTCTATTTCATCATGTATTATGTAAAATAATTCTGTAAGTGAACTTTTAAAATTTAGTTTGAGAACCTGCAGTTCAGCTCCACTAATTGTGGACTATTAGCTAGTTGATGTTAGCCCTTAAAAGCTATAGTCACAAGTCAAAGTTTGAAGGAAAGCTAGCTTTGATAATTTTAAGCAATAGGATAAGTGAAAACTAAAGAATTCTGCATGCTTGATTACAAATCTGAGCTACAGACTTGGAGAGGAAGAACTGCTCTTTGTGTATTGAGGAGTGAGGAAGTCATGGAGGTTTTTACACAGTAATGAAGCAATTGTAAAAGATTCTTCCCACGCACATTTATGTGTTCCAGGCATATTTGTGGGTTTATCATGTGCTGGCTTCTTGGGATATATTGGCGAACAACAAGGTATAGAACTTGTCCTCTAGAACTTAGAGTCCGTCTCCTGGAGGAGACAGATAGCAAATGAACACATAGAATATTGGAAAAGCAAATAACTGCCACAAAGAGATGACGAGGGCGGGGGGGATGTCTGAAGGACTCACCCAAGAAGAACCCTCTCTGAAGAGATGGCGTTGGTTTCTTGAAGCCAAGAGCAGAGGGAGAGAGAGCTGGGGTGCTGACTGAGGGACGGGAGCTGGTGTTAAAGAGCTGGAGGCAGAAGAAATGGCAGGTGAACTGGATAGACTGCGGCGCTGGAGCTGAGCAAGGGAGGAAGACAAAGATGAAGTGAGGGAGGGCGGCCGGAGACAGAAGACTGGACATGTTTACTGTGCATCATCGAAATCCTACACACACACACACACACACACACACACCCAGAGGTAATTATTCACTTATTTTCTGAATCTGAAAACATTTTTGCTTCACCAGTTTATGTGCCATCATAAAAGGGGAGATTGTTTAAATCCCTCTTAAAGTCAAGCTTTCATAAGTGAAATAAGTCAGATAGAGAAAGACAAATACTGTATGGTGTCACTTATATGTGGAATCTAAAAAGAACAACAAGCTAGTGAATGTAGCGTGGAAGAAACAGATCTGGGACTTTCCTGGTGGTCCAGTGGTGAAGACTCCACGTTCCCAGTGCAGGGGGCCTGGGTTTGATCCCTGGTCAGGGAATGAGATCTTACATGCAGCAACTAAGACCCAGTGCAGCCAAGTAAATAAATATTTAACAATAATGAAGAAACCGATAGAGCGTGCTCAGTTGCTCAGTTGTGTCTGATTCTTTGCAGCCCCATGGACCATAGCCTGCCAGGCTCCTCTGTTCATGGAATTTTCCAGGCAAGAATACTGAAGTGGGTTGCCATGTCCTTCTCCAGGGGATCTTCTTGACTCAGGGATCAAACCTGTATCTCCTCCATCTCCTGCATTGGCAGGCAGATTCTTTACCACTGAGCTGTCTGGGAACCACCACAGATATAGAGAACACACATTTATTTGTTCCAGTGGTTTCCAGTGGAGAAAAGGAAGGGGGGAGGGACAATATGGGGCAGGGTGCTAAGAGGTACAAAATATTATGTATAAGCTACAGGGATATATTGTACAACACAGGGAATATAGTCAACATTTTAAAATAACTATAAGTGAAATATAACCTTTAAAAATTATGAATCGCTATATTGTATACCTTTAACTTACATAACATTGTACATCAACTGTACTTCAATAAAGAATATTTTTAGATAGTCAAACTTTTACACGAAGACGTTCAAATGTAGAAAATGAGACCTTTCCCAGTTTCAACAGCCTACAAGCTAAGCGTACTCACCCATCAGGGTCTATTTAAAAAATACTTTTTTCCTATTTAAAAAAATGGACTTCTTTCCAAGCATCAGCGCAGGAGATTTCCTCTAACATTTCTATTGGTCACTTTCTCTAAAAGTCTTAAGTGGGAAAAAAAAAAAATCCCTGACACTGAAAGCAGCAGTGATGTAAAGTGAAGACATGTGTATGAAGCACTCACGCATGTTTCTCCCAGATCTATGGGAACAAGACGACGCAACACGCGAGAGAATTCAGATGCTTGTCACCTCGTGGATTTCAGGCAGAGAGGGCAGTCTTTAAGACCCAGTAGCTCAGTACTTGTCTGGAGAGGAAATGTTGCTTTTTGACAGATGAGAGAAATCCCCTTAGCGTTGGCTGTGGAAAGAGAGAAGTGAAGTCAGTCACCTGGTGGTGAAGGCCAGTAAAACAGCAAAGCAAGAGGAAAATTTTTTTCTCTCCCTCTCTGTCTCTCCACGCAACCCCGCTCTCCCTCTCTCTCTCTTTTCTCTCCTCTGTCGAAGCCACCTTCTATTCCTCTCAACTCTTTTAGCATAACCTTCAAAGGAGAACGTTCCCTTCAGACTTTATTATCTCCACCCCCCACCCCCCCTCCACTGAGAGGATACCTCAGAGCTGCAAGACATTTTTAAGTCTAGGCAGGACTTGGGGGATTTGGTTATCTTGCCACGGAAGCTGATCACTGCTGAAGCTTGGGACTCCGTGTGCTAAATGAGCTACCAGAGTAAGGCTGGCGGAGGAAGGCTTTTATCATATACTCTTCTCTTCAGTTTGAACACATTTGCTTGAGATTTGCCGCATGATGCTGTCCAGGGAAGCAGCTTTTTTTCTTGGGATGCAGCAATTCGCTGGTTTCTAAGCTTATTGCAGAAGAAGAAATAATCTTAAATAGAGTGGATTTTTTCCCCCCAACCCCCAGCTTGATTCGACTGAGCTGTGTTGCGCCGCGGTTAAAGATCACCTGGCACAAAATCTTTGAGGAAGTCAAAGAAAGTGAATTACAATTATTATTTATTTATTTATATTATTTTTAACCGGTGGAGGCGGCGTGATCACGGAGAATGAGACTGAGAAATGCTGCCAGGGTTTGGAGGAGGATAAAGCTGAGTTTAGGCTGGAAACTAAGAGACTAGATTGTTTTTTGGTCCCACTTGCCCGGTTCCTCTTCACTTCCTTTAGTTTCGCTCCATGGACAGATCAACAAACCTGGACATTGAGGAGCTCAAGGTACGTGATGCTCGGAGCGGGCGCCGTCCCTTCCTTGGCTGACGCTCGCCTGCTCTCTTGCTCTCCTGTCTGTTTTTCCCGCTGCCTCTTCCTCGCGCTGCTAGAATAGTTGGTGGCCCCGTGGGACGGCGAGTGGGCATTTTGGGGTGAAGTGTACCCGGGCGCGGGCTCCCCTTCCAGGGCCGAGGACGAGGATGGAGGGCGGCTTCCTGGGGCTCGGCGTGCACTCTCGGGCCGGGTCCCCTCCCTGCCTCCCGGCCACGGCCATCCTGTCTTCCCCTCGTCAGTTACAGCATCACTTTGGGTACCAGACCCGGGGCGCGTGTCCGTTCACCGCGCCCGGGCAGCGGCGGCGGCGGCGCGGTCTCTGCCCCTTGCCACCCGGTTACCCAGCAAAGTTGCCCGAGCTGCGCGGCCACTTTGCCTCCTCTTCCCGCTCCCAGCCGCCCGGCCCCTCCAACCCGACGCGGGGACCGCCTATTTCCGCTTAGAGATTCTCGGTACTGTCTGCCGCCTAAGGCTGGTTTTCATCCCGGCTCTTCCCGCGACCCCTTTTCTCCCACGACCGCTCACATGGCCTCAGCCACAGCGGCACTGCCCTGGGCGCGAACTCGTGTGCGGTGCGGGGACCCGGCGCAATGGAAGGGACCAGAGGGGTTCCCCCGCTGGCCCGGCGACACCGGCGCAGAGAACGTGCCTGCCGGGAGCATCCACAGCCCGCCAGCCGGTCTGGGGAAGTGAGGAGGGGGCGGGGAGGCGGGAGCCGGTCTGGGCTGCGCCGGGGTGGGGGCGGGAAGCCCGGGGAGCTTCTCTGCCCTCTTCCCACCTTCCGAACAGGGGCTCTCCTGACCTGCGCGGAACCCCCTCTGCCCCTCGCCGCACCCTCTCTCCACCGAGAAGGGTTGGCTGGCAGGAGCGTTCAGGCTGACAGTTTGCCTCTCTGTTGTGGACACAGCTTTAAAAAAGCGAAGAGCACCGCTGCAGTGCCTATTAAAACCAAAAGAGAAACAACTTAAAAAAAAAATCCACAAAATCATTTAAATGTCCCGCTCACGGTAAATGAAACAGCAGGAAAGCGGGCAATGCTTGGGAGCATCCTTTCTTTTTATTCTTCACGCTTCTTTACCTCCCAGGCGTTTTCTCTTGCTTCAGAGAGTTGTCTCTCATACGAGAGATTCAGTTCAGATGGACTAAAGAGTCCCTCTGTTCAGGTGTGGACTTTTAGAGGTACCCTCACCAGCTGGGAGAACTTCACTAGTAGGGTTTCCCCAGAAATATCAGGGAAACGGATTTTGCCCAGGAGGAGGAAAGGATGGGAGAAATCCCCTGTAGAGGGCAAAAGTTTCTGTCTGCAGCCTGCTCTCTCTGCCCGGAGCCTACAGCTCCAGCATGCCCACCCAGGAGCCCAGTTCTCCTGGGAGATGCACCCCAGACCCCTATGCCAAACGCATAGGAGAGCAAGGAGGCAGAGAGGACTGGCCCTGCCTCTCACTGTAGATGAAGGGCTGGTGGGGGGCGGGGGATGATCACAGGAACTAAGACATCATTTCCTTTAAGGCATGGAGTTTGTTGGGGAAAAGTTAAATAGGGAGGAGACAGATTTGCTGCTCTAGTTAAAGTTGGGAAACAATAAGTTTGTGTTATGGCCAAGGTCACTATCCGTAGACCATGGCCTGGAAAAGAGGTCTCCTATAATCTCTATGTTAACCTAAGGTAGGACTCAATGACTTTGTGATTGAAAGATCTTGTTGCCTTTTCCGAAGCATCCCAGCCTCTTGGGAGAAGGGTAGGTTTTATATGAGATGCAAAAGAGGCCACATGAACAAGCTTATTCTTGTGGGAAATGTAAGGGGAAAATGATTTGGGGGGGGGATCGCTTTCCCTGATATTCCATTAGTTTCCTGCTAGTTTATCTCCCTCTTAATCCTGGCATCACTGATTTTTTTTTAAAACAGCGAAAGAGCAAATCTACAGTGAAAACTTCTGTTTAGTTCAGTAGAAGATCCCACCTTAACCTCGAAACTACTACACACTTATTCAGGGCTTCTCACAGCCAGAATGTGCTAGACTGGGTGGATAAGCCACAAAAGGTGAGGGAATGTTTTGGCAATGACCCACTAAGAAGAGATGAAGGGATGTTAGAGGCAAAGATCTGTGGAGGGTGCTGAAAATTTATGAGGGCCAAGCTGCTGTGGGAAGTCAAAACTGGCAAGAGAGGAAAGGTAGTGAAGCCTTATAGAAAACATTGAGATCCTCCTGTTTGGGAAATAAAATTTGTGTTGTCATGTTTGGCTTCACTTCTGGAACAAGGGGACTTTAACACACACTCTGGAATATATACTTTGTAAAGATGGGTGAACTACATGTGCAAACACTTGTCTGAATTACCTCTTATCAGAGGAAATCATTGGCTTGGAATTTCTAGACCATTGCAGTTGAAGTTATTTTCTGGTGGCTTCCTGCTGAAGGGCCCCTCATGTAGTAACTGGAGAGAGGGGAGAAAAAAAAGCTGCGGATACTCATTTTTTGACATCATTTGCTTCTTGACTATGGTCCAAAGATGCTTACTTTAAGACAGATCCACGTAAGTACTTTGGTTTCTGGGATGCTTTAAATACATGAAATGAAAAACAACGTTCACTGGGATTTGATGGATAAACAAATGTACATAATACTGCAAGAATTCCATTTAGCTTAGTTTTAGATCATTAGTGTCATTATTAGTTGAACCTGCTCACCCCAGGTCTTAGGGAAGGAAGATTCTGCAAATTCTTCTTTTTTGTGCCAAACTATTTTCTCTTTTTGAGGTTAAAAAACAAACATACATTTTTTGCTATGTTGGATGTGTGGATACTGATATTTAAAGTACTGTTTAGTAAATAGTGTTGTCCTATGCAAGTTTCTAAACTAAAGGTAAGCTTCAGTAATTAGGTGCTAAGCCACTGCTGTCATTATTATAAAACTAAATGTAATCTGCATATTACAAGATTTACAGGTGGAAAACTAACATGTTATGTGTACAAAACTTGCTAATGAAGACAAGCATGTTTCATCTTCTCTTCTGCACCCAAGTGCCTGATGAAATAGATCCGTGTTGAAAGGAGAGCGTTGTTCTCACTCAAAGTATTCTGGTCTTGCTTTTCCTTTTGATCTCTACCTGTTTCTTTCTCCAATAAATATATAACTTTATGCTGAATTTTGCCCTGGTGTTTGTTTTTCAAGAAGAAACAGCATCAAACAACCCAGCATATGGGTGACTGCTTTGCAAATGTGGGTGTTAATGAATATTGATATTAGAGACAGCACCCTCTACCCTGGAATATATGAGTTACAGAGTACTTTTAGTAGCTGATAATTGACAGAATAACTGAAGCTTTTATTTTAGCTCTGGGGTTGCCCTCTTTTAAGCTACTTATCTTATGCACTGCAACAGAGAATGCCACTAATTTACAGAGCTGGCACTTATACATTTGCTTTTTGCAGTGTTTGTTTGTGAGATATCAGGCTGAATAAATAGTATGTTTAAGTAACCCATATGTCTTTGGCAATTCTTTTACTTAGCTTTTGAAATATGAGCTTTAATTCATTTCTGTTAATTTAGCAACCAAGAAATTAGGCTTTCAGATGCTAAGCATATATTTGTGAATAACTGTAATTTGCTTTGAGATCAAAAACATAAAACATATCAGGAGGACATTACAACTTTAGCAGTATTATTTGATACCACTTTTATTTGTCAGAATTGTTCCTTTAACAGGATGATTAACTAGAAGTTAAAATCGAATTTTTCCATTACTTGCATAACATAAACAATATGCTTCTGGAATATTTTCCTAATTATCATTTAATGAACAAAAATTATAAACTGTATAGTTAATCCTAAGGTGCATAAGACAATTTTTCAATAAATATAATTGTACTTGTTTGAGTTAATTAAATGTAGTCCAGTCACTGTTGCTTAATTTTATCTCTTCAATTTAAATAAAATTCCATCTACCAAGAGCTTGAAACTTGCCCTAGATAGGCAAGGTACAAGCTTCCCTGAATAATACAATTAGGTCATTAAGAAAGTACAGTGCTTGGGTGAGATAATCTAAGCCAAAAAACAACTAAGTGTTTAAACAAGAAGTTGATCAAACACTGAGGAGATCTTAAACCAAGTCTCATAGTACATTATTCTATAATTTCAATCAAAAAGAGAGTTGACACTTAGAAGAATTCTAAAAATATTTTTCGTTTGTTTGTTTGTTTCGTCAATAAGACACTCAGCCCAGGAAAGTCAGCTTGCTGCCGTGTTAGGAGGCTTTGTGATAACTGTAAGTAGGTGGTATTTTTTTGTTAGTCATTCCATAGTGAAAAATAGTACTGTCCAACCAATGTCATATTTTTAGCAACCTGCCTTATATATTCATTTCTTGGCTTAGAATAAGGAAACATGATTGTGACTACTGAATTATTTGACCTCTTTCACATGTAAATGAATTATAAATTCTGACCATCCAGGTCAAGTTCCAGTTCTCTTTTGACGACAGGGACAGTCACCAAGATTGAGAAATAGTTAAAGTTGATTTCTTTGTATTCAGAATATAGACCTGTTTCATTGACGCTGAAGTAAACTTCAAGGAGCAATAGGGAAACAGTTGCTTTTTATATAGCTTAGGAGGTGTGAGGGGCTTCCCTGGTGGTCAGATGGTGACGAATCGGCCTGCAATGCAGCAGACGTGAGTTCGATCCCTCAGTTGGGGAGATCTCCTGGAGAAGGAGATGGCTATCCACTCGAGTATTCTTGCCTGGAGAATCCCATGGACAGAGGAGCCTGGTGGGTTACAGTCCATGGAGTCTTGGAGTCGGACAAAACTGAGCAAATGAGCACACACTTACACAAGTGGGACGCAGGAACATTTTTGATATAAATGGTAAGAGAATTAAGAAAAATACATTTGAGGGAAGTTGTGCAAATGACAATTTTAGAAACCTTCAGTAACCCCTGTCATCACTAAAGCTATACTCTAGTCTCTGTACTGGCTATTATAGCTTTGCTGATCTCCAGACTTTAGCAAATGAAAATACATCAAATTTTGAAGGTCCAGTGAAAAAGAATATTTTAAGATTTATGGACTCAAAATCATAGCTCTACAAGATGGCTTAATGCTGTAAGACAATAAATCAACATGTCTTTTGGGGCTTTCCTTTTATGTAATATTTAGTGAGGTGTTTCTCATACTTGTATTGGAATTTCAGCTAAAATACGATGTGGCAGAGCTTACAACTTTAAGTTCCTAAGGAAAATAACCATGTACTTTTGTTCAAATCTCTGTGAAGTTTTTGTGTATATACATTTAAATAGGTAAGTACATAAATGAATAAACATTTTGTGTCAAAATATGTTTATAACTTTAATTGTTTAGAATTGTGCTTGAGAAACAGTTAACCTTGATTTCTTTGCATCCAGAAAATAGATTTGTGATAAAATTCTTAGTTTCTAAATCTATGTGACGAAGTAAACTGCTTCATTTTATACAAGTACAGATTTTAACATGCTAACATATAAGTTTTTATTTTACTCTAATGCTCTTCTTTCTCTTGGCAAATGTTTAGAAGCCTGAGGTAATCTTATATCCTAAATGAAACTTACCAGACACTTCTAGGCCAACCACAGAATGAACAAACTTAAGGATTCCTGTGCCTCCAAGAGAATTACAGAGATTTCCATCCTAAAAATTAAAAATTGCATCAAGTATCTTGAGAGTTTCCTTGATATTCCTAAATGGTATTTTTAGAGATTGACTCTAAAAAATATTGTAAGCCCTGATCTGGTTTTAGCACATTTATACTGCTTTGTTGAAATTAAATAGGTTGTCTAGAGTCTTCTATGCCAAGAGGAGATCAGAAACCTTTAAAAAATGTTTTTTCATTATCCAGCCAGAAAAGCTTTAATTGCCATGGCAATGCCCATCAGTGGAACAGGAGCTGAAGTTTCAGCCTTAGTTATTAGTTGAAAGCATCACCCCACACTAAAGATGAAGTTCAGTGGCATTTGGAAGTCAGAGACACCCCAATGTACTAAATCTCTCACTCCAAATCCAACAGCTTGTAACGTTTAAGGAGCTTGACTTGTGTGGTGAGAGGGGCACAGGTCTGGTTGAAGGAGTGCTTAGAAGACCTTGTTTAAAGCCCGGCTTTGCCATCACCGGTAGGTGGCTCCTTGGGTGTATTACAGCCATTCTCTGCCTCCGGTCTCAGATAATGGTGGCATTGCAGGGTGGAAGTTGGATGTGATTTCTAGGTCTTGTTGTAATCACTTTTAGCCACAACTAAAGAACTTGTTCGAACAGTGTCTTCTAAACAAGTACAATACCTAATACTGATAAAAGGGGAACAGTTCTAGTTGGGGCAAGAGAGGTTGAGGGCTCTATCAGCCCACTTCTCCTTTGCCCCTGCACTTGACCCCAGGACATTTCCTAGAACTGTGAGACTGAAGAACAGAAAGTCAAGACCTCAAGACCAGCTGATCTCTATCTTCCAAGTCTCAGAGTCTAGGGCTCTGAGAACGTTTTTTTGAGAATGACATTTTTGTGCCCCACCCCCCAGAAAAAAATCATTTCCAAATCAATAAATAAAAGTAATATAGCTCCTTTTATTCCCCCAATATAGCCTTGTTTGAACAGCATAATAAGTTTTTTGAATATTGTATTCTCATTTAAGTGTACCAGAATGGGGACTCAAGAAAAATCTAGTGAAAATGCCTAAGATCACAGGGTGAATAAATAAAGGAATCAGAACTCAAAGATGTGCTTTTTCTATCCAAATACTATGTTCTTATTTATGGGCAAAAATTCCAGGATACTTGCAAAACTTCTGATAGTAGAGGTTTCTCACTGAATTTCTCTAACATTCTTGTTTCTAAGAAAACTGAAATATTTGAGCTATAGTCATAGTATTTACACTTTTCTACATAATGATTATTCACAGTTTTAATTTCTTACTGATATGCTCATTCATAATCAGTTACTTTGGGCCAAATTATTAGTGGTTGATGTTTGTGAATAAAATGTTAGAGAAGTGATAATTATATCATGAATTTAGGTCACTGAATAGGTTTTATAACCTTGTACCAATCTTTTAAAATAAACTCAACATATTTTATCGAGTTCTATGAATCACTTGAGTGGTTGAATCACTATGAATTCAATTACTCTTGAATCACTGCAAATAATTTTGGTTTTGTTAGGGCCATAAATTGGATTTAACCTCCAATCTGGCTTTGGCATGCCACCTTGTTGTATATTTAGAATTCTTCTTGAAATTGAAAAAAATAGATCTGAATGATTGTACTTACACTAAAATTATTATGTTCTTAGCTTTCATGATAGGCCAAAAACCTGGAAATAAATACCAGATAATTGAATCCATAATCAAACTAAAATCCTCAATGGCAATCTTTGAGATTTAACATATCAGCAATTACAAATGAAGATATACAGATAACTGAACGTTATTTTGCAAGGACATTTCTTTTATATTCATAAGGGGGTCATTATTGAATAACACCTCTTCTTGAGAAATATTTTTCAAAGCCTTTGCAAGCCTCAACATTTAAGTGTCTAACTAGAAGGTATGATTATATGATAACATATTTTCTGCCTAAGAACCATCATTTTCTCAAAACTCTTCCCTTCAGATCTAGATTTGGGTATCTTCAGAACTAGATTTGGGTATTCTTCTAGAGAATACAACTTCTATTATTTACCAGAGTGACTGGTTAAATGACATGATGAAGAGAATACAACCAAGTTGATTTGAGGTTTGGCTTCTGGGGGAGTGGGGATCAGGTTGGCCTAAACTCTTAGTGCCTTGCACAGCACACTTACTTTGTCATTTCTCAGCTGAATTGTTAATGACTATAAATCAGGTACATTCTTGGTTACTTCTAAATAATTAGAAATGCAACCTTAAATCTAAGAAAGGTAAAAGCCTACCATATTCTTCTTTGCTGGAGACATGTAATACTTCAATTACTAACCCACATATTATCATTATCTAACTTCTTTTCACACTGGTTTTTAAACTCTCATCTTTGTTTAGAATGGCTAGAAACATACACATTATCTACCTGAGATAAAAGAGCCTTTAATTCTTTCTTGGGTAGAAACAACCAATTCAGCTGCCACAAGGAAGAACATTTTTGTGAAACATGATATGATAAATCAATGTCACGAATGGGAAAATACTGTTATCATTGCAGTTCCACAAGCCTATATCTACTCAGAGTAGTCGAGGGTTTTTAAAATTTAAATCAGAAGAAGAAATTAACTACTCCAAGTAAGAAATTGCTTACCTAAGACTTATTGAATTATATTCTGGGTTTCTACCTCCTTCTCAACATGAGACTCATGAAAGGGAAATACTGTCTAGCCTGAGTACCAGAATTAGTTATGCTTCTGAGCAACCAGTTGGTATTCAGTCTTAGCAATGTTTTTCATCATAAAACTGATTGTGTTTTCTTCTTTGCCTTAGTTGCTAAAATGCTCAGAAGCAAATCTGTGGCTCATCTCTAACACGGATACCTGTGTCTTTACCTAATTCCTGGCCTCATAATACTTTTTCCTTTTCTTCACTGTGCTTAAATACTTTCATAAAGAACTAGTGACTATAATTTTGTATAAATACTCAGAGATTATTAAGACCTCCTTTTGCAGAGACTCAGTTATTTTCATAAGATTTCAGTGGACATGCCTTAATATTTCTCATCTCTTCTGAACAGCTTATCTCTCTGTAGGCACTTTCTTCCATTTGTCAGAGGCTACAGATTTTAAAAGGTTTGAATTATCATGCTGTGTGTATCCAGTTATGTTGTGTGCATGATTTCCATTGCATATAATAGCTGTATCACTTGTGGACCTACTTACCACAAAATGAAACCCATGCACATCCAAAGTAAAAGACCGCTATTTAGCACTTACGTTATCAAGACTTCTATTTGTTCCAAGGCATTCTGTCTTAAGTCATTATTGTTATTTGTTGTTGTTCCAATTTGGCCTTTGTGGAGAATGATTGTCTGCATTTTTAAATCTCTTCATTTCTAATGCTTATTACTTGTGTCTGGTGTGGAGACGTTAATAAAAGAGGAAGTAAATGAGCTCATTTGAATCAGCATTTTATTTATTTATTTATTTCAGATTCACTTTGCAAAAATCAATGTTTTGATCAGTTGAGTTGCTCTAGGCAGCAGAGGCAATTGGACTTCTAGATATTTTATCTCATGAAGTTTCTTAAAGTTCATGCTTTAGTTGTGATTCAAAGATTAGCAGTTCCACGCAGAGTGTTGTGTCTTAATAATAAAGGTCCTCATTGTTTAAGCATTCTTGGGAGAAATTTTAAGCATTTAATAATTATGGATGTGATATATACAGCTGGATTAATTAAATACATTTTGGCATGTGACAAGTACAAGTGAAGATCTTTCATTTGTGTCTGCGTCCATTTACTATACAAGCCTTCTTTCCTTTTAGAAATACTGATATGTTTTTAGGTGTGTATTTATTTCACTTATTTCCTAAAACAAGAAGAGCTCTTTGCATGTAATAAATAAAAACAAAACTGACTTTAAAGTGTTTAACATTGACAACTAGTAATTTTTTTCAAAACCTGTTTCATATTTATACACACCTGAAGTGAATTTCAGAAACTTTTGAAAAATATGATTCAAGCATGCCAAAAACATAACATTATCCATGATAGTATTCTATCTCAAATGATTAGTTAATTCTATACTTCAGCTTGATTTAACAGACTTACATAATTATAAAAATATCTGCACACATGTTCAGAGTATAATTTTTGTCTTCTCTGGCTCCTTTTGTGATGTTTAGTGAGATGCACTACCCATCTGATCTTAAACTCCGTGCTCATTCAAAACTGTAGACTGTATGCTTAGTGTATTCCAGCCAACACAGCGCAATCAAAATCCTAAGGATTGAAATCTTGTTTTCTATACTTCTTGTTTTACCATGAATAGTATTGGAGTACAAATGAATAAAGATCACAAGAAGAAACATCAACTAAAACATGGGGAAGTTATCAGCAGTTTAAAGCTTGATTGAAAAAGAAAGAATGACTCTAAGTAAACAAAATAAACATGATACTCCTACCCCAAGCAAACATTTGACTTAATTGGTAATTCTGTCTCTTTGATTTAAATGTTCCTATGTCTAAATTAATACATTACAAAACTTGTCATTCACTGTGATGTTAGTAGATACAAGTCTTAAAGCTCTTTGATAGATTGCATTATTGAATTCTTAGCAAGAATGTGTCTTTTTTTATATTTTCAATGGAAATGCAGTATATGAACTCTTACCAGTTTTATCTTTCACTCTCTTTTTCTCACTTTTCATCTTCAGCTGCAGATTTCCTGTTGCCTGAGACTTTGTTCATGATATTTTTTGATTCCTTCTTTTTGCATACTTTCTAGTTAGTCTTATCTACTCATCAGTTCAGTTCAGTTGAGTTCAGTTGCTCAGTTGTGTCCGACTCTTTGCGACCCCATGGACTGCAGCAGGCCAGACCTCCCTGTCCATCACCAACTCCTGGAGCTTACTCAAACTCATTATCTACTCCTAGCGTCTGTTTTTACTTACAAGGAGATGATGCACTGTAATGCACACCCATCTTACACCTTTAACTTGAGGAAACTGCATTTGCTCCTCTCTGTCAACAATCTATTCTAGAAATCTTTACCTGGATGTTTCACACCCACCTCAGCCTAACAACACTTTGTTTGTTGATTTCGTGTGTAACTGTACACTTAGGCACTCCCGCTGGTGCTCTGGGATCCTCTTCTTTGGATCACATTGACCTGTCTCACTCATCTAATTGATCAGCCGGTCCATCAAACCGCATTGTCAGCGTTTTCCCTTTCTTTACTTTCTGTTAAAACCCTAGATCAAATTCTCATCTTCTCTCTTCTGAACTTTTGTTGAATATTTTCTTATTCTTGCAGTGATGCTGATCACATTGCAGTGAATTCTAATGTGATGCTGCAGATGTGGCCTGAGGGTTAGGGGTTTAGTTGGAATCACCGTTAAGGAATTTATACTTTCCTTTTCTAATTCTTAGTAAGTCATCTCATAATAAGTTGTGAAATATTGGAAACTGGGGCACATTGGCTAGGCCTGAAGCTGAATGGAGAGGGACTCAGAAGTTCCTAGAAATGCATAAAAGTACTCTCAAAATGAAGACAAAATGGTTTCTGGAAGCTAGACTTGACCATAGCTACTGATTAATTATTATTAATTATGACTAATATGTTTGAGTTGGAAAAAAGGGAGCTACAGATTATTGGTAGATAATAGTGACTCACTTTATAGTCTTTTTTTGTGTATATCTTGATGAAATCACATTACACTATTCCGGAACCATGAATTACATTTGACAGTTTCCTTAGTGGATTTTCTGTATTTTTGACAGTGTGATCAGATAACTTATAGTCAGTAATGTTTCTATGTCTCTGGGAATTTGGCAGTTCTATCTCTGAGAGGTGGCCCAAAGCCTGAATGCTAATAGAGGAAACCGCCTAACTAGGCAGAGAGGCATAGAAAAATTATGAAGAAATCTCAATAGATATAGGCTAAGGTGTTTGTATTCTGAAATGCGCATCACAGCTAATGAACATGGTTGATTATTGACCTGTAAATCTCAGCTGTTGGTTAGATGGCTTTGCAGATATTTCATTCTTTATATCCTTAGTCTTTCAGTAAAAGCTGTGTAGTCCTCATAGCTAAGTCTTAAGAAGTTCTATGAGACTTATAGTATGGGCAAATAAGAGTAAGGTAACATAAATATGCATATTTCAAAGTAGGACTGAGGAACCTTGATCTAACTGAAGATGGCAGGTGGTAACAATGGCTAGTGAGGGATTGCCTAAGAAAATGTAACTTGTACAAATGGAAGAGTCCAGGAAACAAGATCTATTCATGGTTCTTCAAAGGGAGATTATTCCTTATTAAGGAACCAGCCAGGTTCTTGACTCTCTATAACTGATCTTCTTTGCTTAGCCTATTCAACAAGCAATCTTCATTCCACAATTCCAGGCTTCCCTTTTAGAATAAGATAATTTCTAGAGCCAGACATCCTGGAATGTGAAGTCAAGTGGGCCTTAGAAAGCATCACTACAAACAAAACTAGTGGATGTGATGGAATTCCAGTTGAGCCATTTCAAATCCTGAAAGATGATGTTGTGAAAGTGCTGCAGTCAATATGCCAGCAAATTTGGAAAACTCAGCAGTGGCCACAGGACTGGAAAAGGTTAGTTTTCATTCCAATCCCTAAGAAAGGCAATGCCAAAGAATGCTCAAATTATCGCACAATTGCACTCATCTCACATGCTAGTAAAGTAATGCTCAAAATTCTCCAAGACAGGCTTCAGCAATATGTGAACCGTGAACTTCCAGATGTTCAAGCTGGTTTTAGAAAAGGCAGAGGAACCAGAGATCAAATTGCCAACATCTGCTGGATCATTAAAAAAGCAAGAGAGTTCCAGAAAAACATCTATTTCTGCTTTATTGGCTACACCAAAGCCTTCGACTGTGTGGATCACAATAAACTGTGGAAAATTCTGAAAGAGATGGGAATACCAGACCACCTGACCTGCCTCTTGAGAAACCTGTATGCAGGCCAGGAAGCAACAGTTAGAACTGGATATGGAACAACAAACTGGCTCCAAATAGGAAAAGGAGTACGTCAAGGCTGTATATTGTCACCCTGCTTATTTAACTTATATGCAGAGTACATCATGAGAAACGCTGGTCTGGAAGAAGCACAAGCTGGAATCAAGATTGCCGGGAGAAATATAAATAACCTCAGATATGCCGATGACACCACACTTATGGCAGAAAGTGAAAGAGGAGAGTGAAAAAGTTGGCTTAAAGCTTAACATTCAGAAAACTAAGATCATGGCATCTGGTCCCAACACCTCATGGGAAATAGATGGGGAGACAGTGGAAATAGTGTCAGACTTTATTTTTTGGGGCTCCAAAATCACTGCAGATGGTGATTGCAGCCATGAAATTAAAAGACGCTTACTCCTTGGAAGGAAAGTTATGACCAACCTAGACAGCATATTAAAAAGCAGAGACATTACTTTGCCAACAAAGGTCCATCTGGTCAAGGCTATGGTTTATCCAGTGGTCATGTATGGATGTGAGAGTTGGACTGTGAAGAAAGCTGAGCACTGGAAAATTGATGCTTTTGAACTGTGGTGTTGGAGAAGACTCTTGAGAGTCCCTTGGACTGCAAGGAGATCCAACCTGGGTGTCCATCCTGAAGGAGATCAGTCCTGGGTGTTCATTGGAAGGACTGATGCTGAAGCTGAAACTCCAGTACTTTGGCCACCTGATGCGAAGAGTTGACTCATTGGAAAAGACCCTGATGCTGGGAGGAATTGGGGGCAGGAGGCGAAGGGGCTGACAGAAGAGGAGATGGCTGGATGGCATCACTGACTCGATGGGCATGAGTTTGAGTAAACTCCGGGAGCTGGTGATGGACAAGGAGGCTTGGCGTGCTGCAATTCATGGGGTTGCAAAGAGTTGGACACGACTGAGCGACTGAACTGAACTGAACTGAATAGTTTTAGCTCCTCACCTGCTTAAAAGCCTTTGTTCATTCCCTGTTGTTTATTTTATAATCCATTTTCTTCAACATGATACAACATGATATAGAGGTTGCTCTATGACCACTTTCTTACTTGCTTTCCAATACACACACACACACACACACACACACACACACACACTCACACACACGCATGACCTGTGACATCTTAGTTCCTTGACCAGGGATCAATCCTGCACCCCCTGCATTAGAAGTGTGGAGTCTTAACCACTGTACCATCAGGGAAGTCCCCAAAGTAAGCTTTAAAAGATACTTTTGTTTATTTTTTTCTCACTATAAAGTGTAAGTTCCTTGAAGGTAGTGATCTTGTTTGATCACTCTATTCCCAGAGCAGGCTTCCCTGGTAGCTCAAACAGGAAAGAATCTGCCTGCAAATGCAGGAGACCCAGAGTC